CCCCTCCCGCCTGCACGCAATCCAAGCTCAGCAGAGACCAATCGGAGCCAATCGGGCACCAGAGTGGGAAATCGGCATCGATGCGCATGCTGCAGGTGGGAAATCGTGGGCGCTGCAAAAATGACTCGAATCGCCCGCCGCCAATGGGAGCGAGAAGATCGGTCAGTCGAGGCCTAGAATTGGCTCAAGCGTGCATGGCCGTGCAGGAGCGTTGCCCTCACCCACCTTGCCACCACCACCACCAATCCCCCTTGTTTCCTGCGTTGACCGGCAACATGACCGCTTTGACGTACAAGGACGCGCTGAACGAGCTGGACGATCGCCGGATCAAGTCGATCAAGCCTCTTCTGCCGCCGCAGATCCTGATCGAAGAGTACCCGCTCACGCTCCAGGCCGCCCAGACGGTTGCTTCGGGGCGCAAGGCGACCGAGGAGATCGTCAAGCACGAAGACGATCGTCTGCTCGTCGTCGTCGGTCCCTGCTCCATCCACGATGTACGTTCGGGCCTCGAATACGCCCGCAAGCTGGCTGCGTACGCCGAGGGCGCCAAGGAGGACCTGCACATCGTCATGCGCGTCTACTTTGAAAAGCCCCGCACGACGGTGGGCTGGAAAGGGCTGATCAACGATCCCAACCTCAACGGCAGCTTCCAGATCAACAAAGGTCTGCGCCTCGCGCGCGGCTTCCTGCTCGAAGTCAACAACCTCGGCCTGCCTGCGGGGACCGAGTTCCTTGACACCATTTCGCCACAGTACACTGCGGACCTCATTTCGTGGGGTGCCATCGGCGCACGCACTACCGAGTCCCAAGTCCACCGCGAGCTCAGCTCGGGCCTGTCCATGCCGATCGGCTTTAAAAACGGCACGGACGGCTCGATCTCGATTGCGGTGGATGCGATCAAGGCGGCGAGCTCCGAACACGTCTTCCTCTCGGTGACCAAACAGGGCATTTCGGCCATTGTCGAGACGAACGGCAACGATGCATGCCACGTCATCCTGCGCGGGGCCAACACCGGCCCCAACTACTCGGCCGACGACGTCAAGGCCGTTTCCGATAAGCTCGTCGCTGCGGGGTTGGGTGCGAGGATCATGATCGACTGCTCGCACGGCAATTCCGAGAAGAAGCACGAGAACCAGACGCGCGTCGTCGCCAGCATCGCCGACCAGCTCGCACGCGGCGACGAGTACGGCTGCAACATCTTTGGCGTCATGATCGAAAGCAACCTCGTCGAGGGCAAACAGTCCATCCCCTCTCAGGGTCCCACTGCGCTCAAGTACGGTCAGTCCATCACCGACGCCTGCGTCAACTGGGACACCACCGTCCAGGCACTCGATACACTGCGCCAGGCAGTGCAGGCAAGAAGAGCCCAACCCGAAGCAAAGAGGTTCTTCAAAGCCCGGCTCAGCCGCACAACCAGCTCCGTCGGTATCAACGACCACTTTCTCGGCGCAAACTCCCAACCCACCGCCTTCAACGACGACGCACTAGCCTCGCTCGGAAAGCGCTAACCTTTACCCAACCCACGCCTCTTTCTTGCAAATACGCAACTAATCCACCTCGCATCTTTGTTACAATCTCGTGCTGGGGGGGGGGGGGGGGGGGTTTTTTTTTTG